TGCCAAGTCCCTCCTGCCACCCCTGCGAGCACCTTTTCTTTCCTCCCTCTCCAGCCTCAAAAACTTCTTTAAGAAGGCCTCCGACATGCTGTACTTCAAGCGGCTCATCCAGATCCCCCGGCTGCCGGAGGTACGGGGCCGTTCCGGCCGTACGTGATGCTTTAGAGAGCCCGTGGGTCCTGGGTGGATGAGGTGTCCCCATGTGTGGGTTTGGGGGTCTGGGGACGCTGCAGGGGGACCCGCCAGCCTGTCTCAGCAGCGTGAGGATTGCTGCCTCCCTCCCCTCGTCCATCTGCCTGTGGCAGTCCCCAGGACCCCAGCTGATGCCACCGCAACCTCTTGTCCCTGCAGAGCCCCCCAAACTTCTTGCGGGCATCTGCACTGGCTGAGCATGTGAAGCCAGTGGTTGTCATCCCTGAGGAAGCCCCTGAGGACGAGGAGCCAGAGAACCTCATTGAGATCAGCACAACTTCCACAGAGCCACAGGTAGGGCACAAGGCTGGGGACCCTGGGACCAGGCAGGGGACAGGCACCCGCAGCCTGGCTCAGCTCAGCACCCTTTGTCTTCCCCAGATCACCTCGGATGTATTTGAGCAAACCTTCGGGCCACCCAATGGCATTCGGGATGACAGGTATGGGGCTCCAGTGGTGGCAGAGGGGACATGGACACTGCTTCATGGGACCAACCTGCCTTTCTCTGCAGGGACGGGCAGATCGAGAGCCTCAAGAGGGAGGTGGACATGCTCCGTGCAGAGATGGAGAAGATTAAGCTGGAGGTAAAGCTCAGCTGGGGAACAGCCAGTGCAGGAGTGCGGGGTGTTTTTTGGTGCTGCAATTTGGAAACCCCAACAAGATGCAGCAGTAACAGGGTCCTGGCACCCAGTGCTGTGTTTTGGGCCCTCTCCCAGTGCCAGGACCTCACTCCTGATGGAGATGAGGTGGGGGCACATGAGACCGGTGCTGTGCCATCCCGGCTGGCTGTTAGCAGCCCATACAGAGCGGCTGCAGAGCTTTCCTGTGCCCCTCTCAGCGACCCTGCCCAGATCTCAGCCCGGTGCTGGGGTCAGGATGCTGGGGGGGCAGAGCCGTGG